AAACTATACCATATATTTGTGTCTTTTTCACATGTACGGGCGAGAAGACCTTTTGCAATTCTACAACCAGCCTTTCTATCCGTTTTTCAGTAACAAACTATGATGTGGTAGTAATAATTAAACAAATAGTTCAGAGATTCTACATATTCAAATATGGATTGCAGTCACTCCTTGACCATAGACTGCATTCAATGTAAAAAAACAAATATCTAAATATGTAAAATCGCTTAACTATGACTTTAATAGTAAGGCAGAGTAAATATAACATTTATTTTTATTTTTTATATAATGACATTTGAACGTCGGAGAAGCAGGTGTGGTGCACTGAAGAACCGCTCCTGGCCTGTTTGTCAGACTCTTTGTTTCTCCCTGGCCATCAATGTACCATCAATGTCCCCTCCACTCAAGCTATACTGCCTTTCCAGCCCACTGCCTCAACTCCCTTTCCATCATCCAGAACCAACTACTAGAGAGACTTTTCAATCTTCATCAAATACTTTTCTATTGCCATTTTTTTGGGGGGGCACAATAAATGTCTCTGACTTTTTTGTGATATCCCTGTCATGTTTTTAAATGTATGTATGTGTATGTGTTTTTTTAACTGGCAAATAAAATCCATTAAAAAAATGACATAATCAAGTGATGTCCGAGAAGCCGTGGTTAGGGTTTCTGTATTGTCAAGGCTAGGGGGAGTTGTAAGTGTTGATGTGTTAGCCAGGACCAGAACTATCCGTTGAATAATGACAACCAAATGCATATGATAACATGTAATTGTGAAAGTTACTCGGTTAGTGTTTTTGGGTATCGAGAGTGGTCAGCACCCGTTGTCGGAAGTGCTCTCAAAATACCCATTGGCCCTGATGCTCAGTGAGACAAAATGAATGTGGGAGACTGCCTAGCACTCTCCAACAATAGACGTGGATTATGCGGCATGATGTAGTGGGTCTGTGACTGTTATTCCAGGGAAGCCAGAACACTTGAATCAGCAAATTCCAGTGACTGAATGAGGTGGATGTGTTGGAGATAGGCTGTGGTGATGAGCCTCTTTGGCTGCATCATCACTTGGGGATCTAGACTGAAAAGCAAAGCAGTTTGCGCCTCATCATGTTTATCTTTGGCATTCTAAAAAGTTTAGTTAAATAGTTCAGATAGTTCAGTGATTTTTTATGTATTTAGATATGTGTTTCCTTGTCCACAGACTGCTTTCAACGTAGGGAAACAAATATCTAAATGTGTAAAATTACCGAAGTATCCCTTTAAGATGGTGGTCATATGAGTATTTTTTATTTTATTTATTTAACCTGTATTTAACTAGGCAAGTCAGTTAAGAACAAATTCTTATTTACAACACATACATTAGTATGTGTTATTACAGTTAAAGAGCCTAGCCATCAACTTCCACACATCAACTTCCACACTTTTGGCAAATCTAAGATAGGTTGCAGGCCTACATACAGTAGCTAGCCAGCAAACACACAACTACCACACAACATTGTTTCAATGTTGATTCAAAGTTGTGGGCCTCAAGATTCCGTTACTACTTTATAATGACCATTGGACAACTTTTGAGTTGTGCTGCATGAAAATTGGTCATTGGTTGCTACTGCTCCCTACTGTATGGGGGAATCATCTGACTACTTGTCTCCACATCATTGACATTAAACACACATGACGAAAACACAAAGAACACAATAGTCACGTGTTATTTATTTGTGCAAATGAATGTATACATAGTATACAAATGCAGCTGATGAAAGAACAAGTCTTTTGCAGTACATAATGCAAAAGAAAATGAAATAGCTACAATTCCAAAGAATACAGGAACCATCTAAAAGATGGAGACAAGACTGAACCAAGACTGTCAAAATAGACAACAGAATTGTATCATGGGAGTGGATTCTCTATGTTAGGTAGGTACACTTTATTTACAGTGGGTCTCAATGTAATGTAGAGCAAAACAAAATGCCTTTTGTCACTTTCCTATGCATTGTAATAAAACAATTATTATTACATATTAATGTCATAACACAGGCTTTCTTAGAAAAGTCAGTAGAGAGGACAAAGTATCAGAAATTGCATCACTAATGATGTGACATGGTCATGTAGAGTTCCTATGATAATTTACCAGCATTGCATTGAAATAGCTGAACTGAACACACTGTCACTAATAGTATTTAATGGAAACTCAAATTCTCAAATGACCATCATGCAAAAGGGGACATGGAAGAATAGCAGTATCCACTCTACTGCTGGAGGTAAGAAAGCTATGCTATGTCAAGTTCATGTAGTGAATCTGAGATGTGTCTCTTGCAGTACTAAGGCTTTCCTCAAATTCAGCATCCTCATCTCTTTGGCGAGAACATGAATAAAATCTGAGCTTTGTGAAATTTGCACTGTTCAAGACACAACATTAAGAGGAAAATGATGCATTGCACAATACAATACATTAATTCTTGAAACTAATCATTAGTTATACAGTCCATACAGTACGTTTGATTCTCTCTGTCTGTATACAGTGAGGGAAAAAAGTATTTGATCCCCTGCTGATTTTGTACGTTTGCCAACTGACAAAGACATGATCAGTCTATAATTTTAATGGTAGGTTTATTTGAACAGTGAGAGACAGAATAACAACAAAAAAATCCAGAAAAACGCATGTCAAAAATGTTATAAATTGATTTGCATTTTAATGAGGGAAATAAGTATTTGACCCCTTTGCAAAACATGACTTAGTACTTGGTGGTAAAACCCTTGTTGGCAATCACAGAGGTCAGACATTTCTTGTAGTTGGCCACCAGGTTTGCACACATCTCAGGAGGGGTTTTGTTCCACTCCTCTTTGCAGATCTTCTCCAAGTCATTAAGGTTTCGAGGCTGACGTTTGGCAACTCGAACCTTCAGCTCCCTCCACAGATTTTCTATGGGATTAAGGTCTGGAGACTGGCTAGGCCACTCCAGGACCTTAATGTGCTTCTTCTTGAGCCACTCCTTTGTTGCCTTGGCCGTGTGTTTTGGGTCATTGTCATGCTGGAATACCCATCCACGACCCATTTTCAATGCCCTGGCTGAGGGAAGGAGGTTCTCACCCAAGATTTGACGGTACATGGCCCCGTCCATCGTCCCTTTGATGCGGTGAAGTTGTCCTGTCCCCTTAGCAGAAAAACACCCCCAAAGCATAATGTTTCCAACTCCATGTTTGACGGTGGGGATGGTGTTCTTGGGGTCTTAGGCAGCATTCCTCCTCCTCCAAACACGGCGAGTTGAGTTGATGCCAAAGAGCTCGATTTTGGTCTCATCTGACCACAACACTTTCACCCAGTTCTCCTCTGAATCATTCAGATGTTCATTCGCAAACTTCAGACGGCCCTGTATATGTGCTTTCTTGAGCAGGGGGACCTTGCGGGCGCTGCAGGATTTCAGTCCTTCACGGCGTAGTGTGTTACCAATTGTTTTCTTGGTGACTATGGTCCCAGCTGCCTTGAGATCATTGACAAGATCCTCCTGTGTAGTTCTGGGCTGATTCCTCACCGTTCTCATGATCATTGCAACTCCACGAGGTGAGATCTTGCATGTTTCCCAGGCCGAGGGAGATTGACAGTTCTTTTGTGTTTCTTCCATTTGCGAATAATCGCATCAACTGTTGTCACCTTCTCACCAAGCTGCTTGGCGATGGTCTTGTAGCCCATTCCAGCCTTGTGTAGGTCTACAATCTTGTCCCTGACATCCTTGGAGAGCTCTTTGGTCTTGGCCACGGTGGAGAGTTTGGAATCTGATTGATTGATTGCTTCTGTGGACAGGTGTCTTTTATACAGGTAACAAACTGAGATTAGCAGCACTCCCTTTAAGAGTGTGCTCCTAATCTCAGCTCGTTACCTGTATAAAAGACACCTGGGAGCCAGAAATCTTTCTGATTGAGAGGGGGTCAAATACTTATTTCCCTCATTAAAATGCAAATCAATTTATAAAATTTTTGACATGCGTTTTTCTGGATTTTGTTGTTGTTATTCTGTCTCTCACTGTTCAAATTAACCTACCATTAAAATTATAGACTGATCATGTCTTTGTCAGTGGGCAAACGTACAAAATCAGCAGGGGATCAAATACTTTTTTCCCTCACTGTATATGGTTTCTTACTCTCAAAATATTTAATTGTTTGGCCAAATTTAAACTGCTTTATTGTATCACTGGATTGATTAAAATCCAATTAATAATTGCCAATTGCTGATAATCTTCTCAAGTGTATACGATATTTAATTAACCATTTTTCATTATCATCATATGAGAAATATGACTATCAACTGCTTAACCGATAAAGGTATATTGTAGGATTTTTAACAAGACTTTTTCAAATTGTTTAGATTACAATTGTAATTTTTGACCAAAATGTTTAAAAAAATGTATATTGAATTAATGTCAATGTATCTAATACATAAAAAATGAAAAATATTAATAAAATTCCATTGTAAATACAAAAATATAATTTGAAACTATTGCATGGATGAAACAGGTCTTATATTTTGCAGATACAGTACTGCACTTCACACTTCATTAAGATTATTACTGAAAAGATGGGGATAGTGAATCACAGATGAAAGATGTTCACTGTTTCAGATGTCAGTAAATCAAGATAACAAACATCCTGCTCCAATGATAATCCAGTGACTGATTTGAAGTTGATTGAGTCTCTTGTGTCAAATACAGTAAATAGTCTATAGACCTATGTAGACTGTACCTAGACCAGCACTGTGTGTGCATGTGTGTTTTACTCTTTGTCTCACTAGAGGTAGACTGACTGTGGCCGTGTCCAAAATCGTTGTTGCCTACTAAAATAATAAACTATGTACTACATACGATTTAGAACATACTCTTTAGTAAAAATGTCTGCAGTAACAAACAAATATCAACATACTAGGCTCATCCATACCGAGAGGGTGTCATCTAATGCGTAAGAGGGTTGTCCCCCGCCTTTCATTCATTTTGGTACAGCCCTTCCCCTTTTCTGATTTTCAGCTGTTGTCAAACACACATGTATCTAATAAACACGATAATCTTCATCAATAGTGTGCAGCGAATTGAATTCATATTAGATTAAAAGCTGAAAGAAGTATGGCATCCTCGCATTAAAAACACTCATTATTTGACATTTCACATACAATAAAATGTTATATTTTCGCATACTCAAAAATATACTACTTAGGACACAAGTACGAGTATTCGGACACTGCCAGTAACTCCAACTCAACTGAAATGGTCCCACAGTTTGTACCTCTACCACTTTCTTTCCCTTAGCTGTTTCAAATACAATTTCGTCATCACAGTCCTCCACAACAATGCCGTGCACTACGGGAGTCCGTAAGAACCTTACAGGACAGGGAATGGGTTTTAATTTCAAAAGCATCACTGGAACAACACAAAGAGTCAGCAGACATAGAACTTCTCTAACATGGCTGCACTGTGCAGAAATCTAGTTCCTGTGGCTTCTTCATGCCAGCGCAGTGCTCTCTGGGTAGTTGCATGCCAGTCTGAGTGGTGCAACGCAGCGGCCGCCGTTTGAAGCCCCTCCCGCATGTCTTGGAGCACGACGACCACTGGCCTATGTCCCACATGGGACAGGGGTCCCCACATACCCTGGTGGCAGCCGGCCTCTGTAAGCTGTCACAGTCCGTGGCTGTTTTGCCCTCTGGGTCCGTACACTGAACCAGTCTACTCTGGAGCCCGTTCCCACAGGTCACGGTGCACTCTTCCCAGGCCCCCGCCGACCACATGTTCGGGGGCATGGACTTGTGCGACGGCCCCTTCAGCTCCACCTTGTTGCTGTCCATCAGGACGCTGTTCTGCGAGTGGCTCCTCTCCACTTTCTTCAGGATCTTCTCCGCCTTGTGGTGCTCCCGGGCCAGGTAGAAGGAGTAGCGGACCCGGGGCGGGGTCATCTTCCCCACCGAGAGGACCTCCACGGTCAGCACTTCCTGGAGAGGCCTGGTGGCCTGGAGGATCTCCACAGCACTAGTGGTGCCGCTGTAGCGCAGCAAGCTGCCCTTCACAATGATATCCCGCTCCACCGCTGACACCACGTAGTTCCCGTTCAGAAGGTATTTTCCGTGTCGGTTCTTCACCGCTAGGTAGTTGTCGTCGTTAACCAAGGCCCTGTAGCCACGCTGTCGGATGTCGATGTTGGACGCTCCCACAGGCAACATCACCACAAAGTTGTAGCCATGTCTGAAAAAAATATGATAACATAAAGTATGGTGACAAAGTATGATGACATAAAGTATGGTGAAATAAAGTATGGTGACATAAAGTGTTGTGACAAAGTATGGTGACATAAAGTAAAGTAGTAGATTCTTGTATGCACTGAGAACAGCATTCTGTGTGCTGGTCACTTACATGGGTTTGGTGAACAATCCAGACACTTTCTTGCAGCTTTGGTTGTCCCCTCCACACACACCACACTTGTCATACTTCTTATTGGAGCTGAGCTTGCCATCGCAGCCCGCCTTAATACATTTCCCTTGGACACACACTGCAGAGGTGTCGGGAGAACAGGGTGTTCCATCAACAACCTGTAGGTGTGAGTAGATTTACAGAAATATATTAGTGAGAGTGAGAGGAATCAAGATAAAGAGTGCTTGTGTGTGTGTATGAGGGTGTGCGTGTGTGTGCAGGGCTTGACATGAACTTGTCCTTCGGAAAAGTAGGACTGATTTTTTACTTGTCTGAAAGCTCAAGTCAAAAAATGGTCTGTAACACAATGGACCAAAACGGTAACTGGAAATAGTGTTGTATGATGCAAGGAACCACTTCACAAAATAAAATGTATTATTATCATTATTATGCCTATTCCTATACAGAAAATCAGACAAAAATGTAGGCTACCTTCAGCCTATATTTGTCAATTCTAAGAATATATTTTAAAGTTGTTAGAATGACATGGCCAATGTTGAATAGAGGGGAATCCCAGCTTTCCAACAGTGTCAGATTTTTTTTCTCCAGCTCCCAAAACTCAGCACTGGAGAGACAGTTTTACAACCGGAGTATGTACAGTGGGGGAAAAAAGTATTTAGTCAGCCACCAATTGCGCAAGTTCTCCCACTTAAAAAGATGACAGACGCCTGTAATTTTCATCATAGGTACACGTCAACTATGACAGACAAATTGAGGAAAAAAATTCCAGAAAATCACATTGTAGGATTTTTAATGAATTTATTTGCAAATTATGGTGGAAAATAAGTATTTGGTCACCTACAAACAAGCAAGATTTCTGGCTCTCACAGACCTGTAACTTCCTCTTTAAGAGGCTCCTCTGTCCTCCACTCGTTACCTGTATTAATGGCACCTGTTTGAACTTGTTATCAGTATAAAATACACCTGTCCACAACCTCAAACAGTCACACTCCAAACTCCACTATGGCCAAGACCAACGAGCTGTCAAAGGACACCAGAAACAAAATTGTAGACCTGCACCAGGCTAGGAAGACTGAATCTGCAATAGGTAAGCAGCTTGGTTTGAAGAAATCAACTGTGGGAGCAATTATCAGGAAATGGAAGACATACAAGACCACTGATAATCTCCCTCGATCTGGGGCTCCACGCAAGATCTCACCCCGTGGGGTCAAAATGATCACAAGAACGGTGCGCAAAAATCCCAGAACCACACGGGGGGACCTAGTGAATGACCTGCAGAGAGCTGGGACCAAAGTAACAAAGCCTACCATCAGTAACACACTACGCCGCCAGGGACTCAAATCCTGCAGTGCCAGACGTGTCCCCCTGCTTAAGCCAGTACATGTCCAGACCCGTCTGAAGTTTGCTAGAGTGCATTTGGATAATCCAGAAGAGGATTGGGAGAATGTCATATGGTCAGATGAAACCAAAATAGAACTTTTTGGTAAAAACTCAACTCGTCGTGTTTGGAGGACATAGAATGCTGAGTTGCATCCAAAGAACACCATACCTACTGTGAAGCATGGGGGTGGAAACATCATGCTTTGGGGCTGTTTTTCTGCAAAGGGACCAGGACGACTGATCCGTGTAAAGGAAAGAATGAATGGGGCCATGTATCGTGAGATTTTGAGTGAAAACCTCCTTCCATCAGCAAGGGCATTGAAGATGAAACGTGGCTGGGTCTTTCAGCATGACAATGATCCCAAACACACCGCCCGGGCAACGAAGGAGTGGCTTCGTAAGAAGCATTTCAAGGTCCTGGAGTGGCCTAGCCAGTCTCCAGATCTCAACCCCATAGAAAATCTTTGGAGGGAGTTGAAAGTCTGTGTTGCCCAGCGACAGCCCCAAAACATCACTGCTCTAGAGGAGATCTGCATGGAGGAATGGGCCAAAATACCAGCAACAGTGTGTGAAAACCTTGTGAAGACTTACAGAAAACGTTTGACCTGTGTCATTGCCAACAAAGGGTATATAACAAAGTATTGAGAAACTTTTGTTATTGACCAAATACTTATTTTCCACCATAATATGCAAATAAATTCATTAAAAATCCTACAATGTGATTTTCTGGATTTTTTTTTCTCATTTTGTCAGTCATAGTTGACGTGTACCTATGATGAAAATTACAAGCCTCTCTCATCTTTTTAAGTGGGAGAACTTGCACAATTGGTGGCTGACTAAATACTTTTTTTCCCCACTGTAGCATTGGTTTATTAAGGCACCCATTCATCAACTGCACGTTGGCCATTTGCAGTGTGCCAGTGGAACGTTTTTAGGGACATCGGACTTGACAATGACATTAATACATGCTAATAGCTAAATAGTTAACTATTGACATAACTAGCCAGGTTACACGATATGTGTTGAATTGGCTATCTAGTTAGCCATAGTCTATCATTATTTTATAGGCTAGGGCCTCTCACTGGCACACATGTAGGTGATGCGCACACTATGACTTTTCCAGGACTTCCATGACCGTACGAACTCTGTTTGCTGACCAAAAATGTGTTATAACTGTGCAAATAACTCACTAATTAGTAAGGAATATCAATATGTGCAGACGTGGCTACACTCGGCTCTGCACTTTGATCTCAAAAGCTTGCAACCGGGAATGATAGAAAGACCGCTCCTGTCAATGCAATACAATCCTACTCGATGCGCTCTGCAGAAATTGGGAGAACAGCAATACTTTGCATCCAGAAGATAATTCTGATCCAATTCTGATTGGAGTAATTGTTAGATATTGTGATTTTTGTGTGATATTTTTTAACTTACTCAAATCTACATTACTGTTGACCAACTATTTTTTTTACTTGTCCCGGAAAAGCGTTAATGTCGAGCCTTGGTGTGTGTGCGTGCATGTGTGCATGTGTGAGAGAGAGAGATAGAGTGTAGAGAGAGAGAGGAAACAGAGAGAGATTCCATTCTAAAAGACCACAAATGGATCCAAACTTTTCAATCCAGCAACTATCTGGACCATCTAAGGACAGCACAGCAAACAAGCAAGACTAAATATCAGAGTGCTCAAAGGGAAAGAGAGGTCTGGTATGTATTGATATAAAAGCTTGTTTCAGTGCTTGGTTGGTTGGTTGGTTGGTTGTGTAAATACTTGCCGACATACAACAGCTGTAAACGACACAGTCTCTGCCTGCCTGCCCTCTCTCTCTCTCTCTCTCTCTCTCTCTCTCTCTCTCTCTCTCTCTCTCTCTCTCTCTCTCTCTCTCTCTCTCTCTCTCTCTCTCTCTCTCTCTCTCTCTCTCTGCCGTGACTGGTACCTCTGTTCTCTCTCACTCTATACCTCCCTATATCAGAGATAGATACTGTAATCAAGCTTCTGACTGGCATTCCTCTTCACACTCTTCAGAGAAAACATGACTTATGCCTTAGTTTGGTTACGATGGTTGTAGCCTACAACATTGCGCTTAACTCTTCATTGACAGTGCCACCTGTCATTAGATCACCAAATGTGAGACAGACAGTGTTTGTTGGGTAACACTTTACTTGACACCCACCCAGCGTCATAACACGTTATGACACAGTCATAACAATGTCATAATATGTCGTAACAGCTGATATAACTTGTCATAACCTGTTATAATATGGTCATAACACTGTCATGACACATACAGTATCTCACAAAAGTGAGTACACCCCTCACATTTTTGTAAATATTTGAGTATATATTTTCATGTGACAACACTGAAGAAATGACACTTTGCTACAATGTAAAGTACTGAGTGTACAGCTTGTATAACATTGTACATGTGCTGTCCCCTCAAAATAACACAACACACAGCCATTAATGTCTAAACCGCTGGCAACAAAAGTAAGTACACCCCTAAGTGAAAATGTCCAAATTGGGCCCAAAGTGTCAATATTTTGTGTGGCCACCATCCTTTTCCAGCACTGCCTTAACCCTCTTGGGCATGGAGTTCACCAGAGCTTCACAGGTTGCCACTGGAGTCCTCTTCCACTCCTCCATGACGACATCACGGAGCTGGTGGATGTTAGAGACCTTGCACTCCTCCACCTTCCATTTGAAGATGCGCCACAGATGCTCAATAGGGTTTAGGTCTGGAGACATGCTTGGCCAGTCCATCACCTTTACCCTCAGCTTCTTTAGCAAGGCAGTGGTCGTCTTGGAGGTGTGTTTGGGGTCGTTATCATGTTGGAATACTGCCCTGCGGCCCAGTCTCCGAAGGGAGGGAATCATGCTCTGCTTCAGTATGTCACAGTACATGTTGGCATTCATGGTTCCCTCAATGAACTGTAGCTCCCCAGTGCCGGCAGCACTCATGCAGCCCCAGACCATGACACTCCCACCACCATGCTTGACTGTAGGCAAGACACACTTGTCTTTGTACTCCTCACCTGGTTGCCGCCACACACGCTTGACACCATCTGAACCAAATAAGTTTATCTTGGTCTCATCAGACCACAGGACATGGTTCCAGTAATCCATGTCCTTAGTCTGCTTGTCTTCAGCAAACTGTTTGCGGGACTTCTTGTGCATCATCTTTAGAAGAGGCTTCCTTCTGGGACGACAGCCATGCAGACCAATTTGATACAGTGTGCGGCGTATGGTCTGAGCACTGACAGGCTGACCCCCAACCCCTTCAACCTCGGCAGCAATGCTGGCAGCACTCATACGTTTATTTCCCAAAGACAACCTCTGGATATGACGCTGAGCACGTGCGCTCAACTTCTTTGGTCAACCATGGTGAGGCCTGTTCTGAGTGGAACCTGTCCTGTTAAACCGCTGTATGGTCTTGGCCACTGTGCTGCAGCTCAGTTTCAGGGTCTTGGCAATCTTCTTATAGCCCAGGCCATCTTTATGTAGAGCAACAATTCTTTTTTTCAGATCCTTAGAGAGTTCTTTGCCATGAGGTGCAATGTTGAACTTCCAGTGACCAGTATGAGGGAGTGTGAGAGCGATGACACCACATTTAACACACCTGCTCCCCATTCACACCTGAGACCTTGTAACACTAACGAGTCACATGACTCCGGGGAGGGAAAATGGCTAATTGGGCCCAATTTGGACATTTTCACTTAGGGGTGTACTCACTTTTGTTGCCAGAGGTTTAGACATGAATGGCTGTGTGTTGAGTTATTTTGAGGGGACAGCAAATTTACACTGTTATACAAGCTGTACACTCAGTACTTTACATTGTAGCAAAGTGTCATTTCTTCAGTGTTGTCACATGAAAAGATATACTCAAATATTTACAAAAATGTGAGGGGTGTACTCACTTTTGTGAGATACTGTATATTTAGACCTGTTGTGACATATACAGTGTTATTTTATGGCTAGTTATGACACCTACATAAGAGTGTCAAAACCCACAAAACCTACCATTACATTACACCATAGCCTATGTGTCAACAGTATGTTTATGTTTATATAATATATTTAAAAAATTGACCATGTTACAATATCATTGTAATTGCGCACACATTGATGTCAGACATGCACCGACCCCAATGCTCTGTTGCTGATGACTGTGATGAATGCAGGAGCAGATTTCAGGAGCAGGACAAGACACCCTCTTTGTGACTGATGACTGATGTAAGGGCATGTACGTGATATGCCTATCTGGCTTATATGATTATGATGGTCATAATACTTCTTGACAGTGTCATAAAGTGTATTTTCTTAGTCCAAGTAAAGTGACACAGGATGGTCATAATGCTTCATGACAGTGTCATAAAGTGTATTTTCTTAGTCCAAGTAAAGTGACACAGGATGGTCATAATACTTCTTGACAGTGTCATAAAGTGTATTTTCTTAGTCCAAGTAAAGTGACACAGGATGGTCATAATGCTTCATGACAGTGTCATAAAGTGTATTTTCTACAAGTTCTATAAAATATGATGAAAAAACATGACTGTAAAGAATTCATTACAACAAAGGATTTAACAAACAAACTTTCAACGAAAGGAAACTTCTTGGCAGGGAAACAAACACATTTGAATAAATGTGGGTTTTGACACTCTTATGTAGGTGTCATAACCAGCCATGAAATAACGAAATATATGTCACAACAGGTGTAAATGGCCACTGTCATGACAGTGTTATGGCCATATTATGACAGGTAATGACAAGTTATGTCAGCTGTTATGACATTTTATGACATGGTTATGACCGTGTCATAACATGTTATGACACTGGGTGTCAAGTAAAGTGTTACCGTTTGTTGTTTGTTGGTGCAATCTGTTATTACAGGTCAAGAGAAGTGTATTCTTAACAGCCTTTCTCAACATTATTCAACAGGTTGCCACTGCAGTCTGCAGGTACTCACCTTTGGAGAAAGGACATAGAAGTAGCCTGTTCCGTTGGCCCTGCAGATGAGCTTGCACTTGTCCTTGGGTGACACTCCAGAGTATTTGGGGACCCACACCACAGACGCTGAGAGCCTGTTGGTGTTGAGGCTGAATCCGTTGAACACCTCACACTGCTCCTCACGGAAGCTTTTGCCTATGGATTGTATGCTTATTAGTAACGTGGATCCATACGAGTACACATCTATAAAAAAAAATGTGGGTAATCCTTTAATGAAGCAACTTCTAAAGGCTTTATAGGACATTCATAAAGTATTCATGAGCACTACATACCTGCTTGACATAAAAGTAAAAGAATAGGATGTTTTATTGTCGGATAGGTGCAGTGAAATGTGTTGATTACATCTGGTGCTTTGCCAAATGTGACATTACCTTTTGCCACTATTCATATAAGATGACATTTGCTTATTAATTATTTCTGAAGCTTCTATATAAGCTTTATCAAGGACTTGTGGCTTTCTTTAACACTTTAAAGTGGGACCTTTGTTTCACACTCAGGTTTCATTTAGCATATTTTTACATATTAGCATGTCAGCAAATCTTATTTATTGTGGTAAAGAAGCAAAATGCTTCCAGTTTTCAAAATAATGTAATTAAGGATTATGTAAAACTTCACAATGAGTTTTACCTGATTCTGGGCAGGCGTCCAAATTGCAGGAGCGATACTTCACACGGAGTCCTTGGCAGTATTTCCCCCCATATTCTGGAACAGGGTTGTTACAGTCTCTTTTGGCAAGCTGAATTCCTCCTCCACAGGTTCTGGAACACGACCCATACACACCCCACCCCCCCCATCCACCGTCCACCTTTAGGAGAACCACACACATTTAGAACCTGTACTCTAAATTACATGTAGAACCTATAGTTACATTCTAGTACACATTTAGAAATATAATTTCCAGTACATATTATTATTAAGATATAGATGTTTTATTGTTATTAGATTGTGAAATCATTGTATTCATTGTGAGATCAGTCTCTATCAACATCTATATCAACAGTTCTAACTAAGCAGATCAGAACACTGACAGTGGGTGTGCTCACCTTGGTCTTAGTGGTGTTGTTCTTGTCGGTGCACACCCCTCGGAAGCAGAGCTTACTGTTGCCACAGCTGGTGCCATCGGCCCAGGGGAAATGACGTGTCTGGCAGACCAGCTGGCCTCTGGCCTTGCCCGTGCACCACAGCTTGGAGCAGTGCTGCATGTAGGGACAGGGCTTGGAGCCCGTACCGAAGGCCAGCTCACACTGGCGGTGGAGGCTGTAGTTGGTGCCTGGGAGGCTCTCAGGCAGAGCCAGCAGCTTTTGAGGCTGATCCAGAAGACAGTCCCCTTTTGACGAAAAACAACCACAGAGTCAAGATATCAGCTGTGCAAAGCCAGCCAAGCTGAAGACATTTTTATGGTTTATATCTGCTCAAGAGTGACAGGTGTTGTCGTATGAAGCAATATCTCTGCACTATTATTCAACATTCCTTTGCAGTTGAACAAAGCAGTCTTCACTCCTCTTAATCCATTTTTTCAAGATTAGTAAACCATTACATAATCATATTTTCCAGGCCAAATAAGTGCAAATACCTGTGCAAAAAACAAGTCTTTTTTTAAACTTTAAACAAGCGTTGGAGCTCTATATTCGTCTCACTCAGCTAATGCAGACGTTGAGCAGGGACAGTATGTGGCATGAGAGGCCCATGAACTCCAGTGCTATTACTGCTAATTGCATGGCCCCGTTCAAGAACTCCAATAGTTCGAACTGTTTAGATTTGCTGCAAGGGTGAGAACCAAGTCTGATCCTTTTCAGCTATAATTTACACAGGCAGAATTCACACGCACACGCAAATGCATGCACATTGTGACAGCTGCCAATGACAGCAGCCATTGACAGAGACCGAGCTGAGTGGCTGACTGACCGTGGCCTCTGTCCAGGAAGTCTGTAATGATGGCTGCGCTGCACACAGACCAGGGGTTGGCACGGTCGATCTGGATCAGCGTGGGGGACATCATATGGTTGTCCTTGAGCTTCCCAAACACCTCCTTGCAGGCGTTCACATTGTCATGGGGCATGTTGAAGACATGGCCTGAAGGACAGAAAAAATAGCACAGGAAGGAAATATGACCAGGACGACAAGAAAATCGGAAAAAATAAAATATTGGTTTTAATCGATGTCAATCATCATCAACAAATTCCAATAATGTTCTAATTCACGTGTCACGTTCACTCCACGGAGGGCCGAGTGTCTGCAGGTTTTTGCTCCTCCCTTGTACTTGATTGATGAAATAAGGTCACTAATTAGAAAGGAACTCCCCTCACCTGGTTGTCTATGTGTTAATTGAAAGGAAAAAAGAAAAACCTGCAGACACTAGGCCCTCCATGGAATGAGTTTGACACCCATGTACTAATTAGATTATGATTTAAAAAAGAGGAAAAATCCCATCTCTGCTCAACAAGCCATTGAGACCTTGCTACTGTCGAGCGGTGGCTTGTTTGCATATATTTCCCCCTTTTATTAAGTTTGCAATGTCCATTTGTTTTGCTCAGCCTGCAGTAGCTCACGGCGCTAGCCTGGCCTGGTTCCAGCTGCTTATGTTTGTAATGAAGACCACTGATACTGGAACATAATCACAGATTCATTGGGACGAGGATAAGGAGACTCAAGGTGGTTCACTAGTCTTCTAGTGTTATCATTGAGGCAGTGTGCCCTATTAGGAAGTCCACTGTGTGCAGCTCACCCTGCACTAACATAAATAACATGACAATATCTACTTCTGCTAAGCTTCCCAGTAAAGCAATGGAAACAAGCAAGCATCCCTAGAAAAGTGCTCAAAATAGCCCACGTTAACATACAGTGCATTTGGAAAGTATTCAGACCCGTTGACTTTTTCCACATTTTATTACGTTACAGCCATATTCTAAAATTGATGAAATTGTTTTTTATCCTCATCAATCTACAAATAATACCCCATAATGACAAAGCAAAAACAGGTTTTTATATTTTTTTGTTAAGAAAAAAAGAAAACAAAATCACATTTACATAAGTATTCAGACCCTTTACTCAGTACTTTGTTGAAGCACCTTTGGCAGCGATTACAGACTCGATTCTTCTTGGGTATGACGCTGCAAGCTTGGCACACCTGTGTTTGCTTAGGGTCGTTGTCCTGTTGGAAGGTGAACCTTCGCCCCAGTCTGAGGTCTTGAGCGCTCTGGAGCAGGTTTTCATCAAGGATCTCTCTGTACTTTGCTCCATTCATCTTTCCTTCGATCCTGACTAGTCTCCCAGTTCCTGCCGCCGAAAAACATCCCCACAGCATGATGCTGCCACCACCATGCTTCACCGTAGGGATGGTGCCAGGTTTCCTCCAGACGTGATGCTTGGCATTCAGGCCAAAGAGTTCAATCTTGGTTTCATCAGACCAGAGAATCTTGTTTCTCATGTTCTGAGTTCTTTAGGCGCCTTTTGGCAAACTCCAAGTGGGCTATCATGTGCCTTTTACTGAGGAGTGGCTTCCTTCTGGCCACTCTACCATAAAGGCTTGATTGGTGGAGTGCAGCAGAGATGGTTGTCTTTCTGGAAGGTTCTCCCATCTCCACAGAGGAACTCTGGAGCTCTGTCAGAGTGACAATCGGGTTCTTGGTCACCTCCCTGACCAAGGCCTTTCTTCCACGATTGCTCAGTGTGGCTGGCCGGCAAGCTCTAGGAAGAGTCTTGGTGGTTTCAAACTTCTTCCATTTAAGAATGATTGAGGCCACTGTGTTCTTGGGCACCTTCAATGCTGCAGACATTTTTTGGTACCCTTCCCCAGATCTCTGCCTCGACACAATCCTGTCTCGGAGCTCTACGGTAAAATACTTCGACCTCATGGCTTGGTTTTTGCTCTGACATGCACTGTCAACTGTGGGACCTTATATAGACAGGTGTGTGCCTTTCCAAATCATGTCCAATCAATTGGATTTAACACAGGTGGACTCCAATCAAGTTGTAGAAACATCTCAAGGATGGTCAATGGAAACAGGATGCACCTGAGCTCAATTTCGAGTCTCATAGCAAAGTGTCTGAATACTTATGTAAATAAGGTATTTCTGTTTCTTATTTTCAATACGTTTGCAAAAATTTCTAAAAACCTGTTTTCACTGTGTCATTATGGGATATTGTGTGTAGATTGATGAGGAAAAAATAGAATTTAATCCATTTTAGAATAATGCAGTTACGTCACAAAATGTGGAAAAAGGGAAGGGGTCTGAATACTTTCTGAATGCACTGTATTTAGCTTAAGAAACAAGGTTCATGAAATGAATATCTAATAACAGATGACATTCATATTCTGACTATCTCTGAAACTGACTTAGATAATACCTTTGATGATACAGTGGTAGCAATACAAGGTTATAACATTTACAGAAAATACAGAAATGCCATATTTATATTTTTTATTTAACCTTTATTTAACTAGGCAAGTCAGTTAAGAACAAATTCTTATTTACAATGACGGCCTACACCGGCCAAACCCGGACGACGCTGGGCCAATTGTGCGCCGCCCTATGGGACTCCCAATCACGGCCGGTTGTGATACAGCCTGGAATCGAATCAGGGAGTCTGTAGTATCTGTATAACGTGTGAAATGCTTGATAATGTATGTGATATCAACAGAAAGGTATATTTTCTGAGTGATTTAAATATTGACTGGCTATCATCAAGGAGCCCACTCAAGAAAAAGCTTCAAACTATAACCAGTGCCTGTAACCTGGTTCAGGTTTTCAGTAAACCTACCAGGGTAGTTAAAAACAGCACAGGAATGAGATTATCAGCATATATTGATCACATCTTTACTAATGCTGCAGAAATGTGCTTGAAAGCAGTATCCAGATCCATCGGATGTAGTGATCACAATATAGTAGCCATATCTAGGAAAACCAATGTTCCAAAGGCTGGGCCTAATATAGTGCATAAGAGGTCATACAATAAGTTTTGTAGTGATTCCTATGTTGTTGAATATTTGTTGGTCCATGGTGTGTAATGAGGAGCAAACAGACGCTGCACTTGACACATTTATGAAATTGCTTATCCCAGTTACTAATAAGCATGCATCCATTAACAAAATGACTGTAAAAACTGTTAAATCCCAGTGAGGCAAAAGGAATGGCAAATAAGTCTGGCTGCACAACCGATTGGCAAACGTACTGCAAATTGAGAAATCATGTGAATAAACTGAATAAAAAGAAGAAGAAACTACACTATGAAACAAAAATAAATGACAAAGAATGACAGTAAAAAGCTTTGGAGCACCTTCAATGAAATTTTGGGAAAAAAGCCAAACTCAGCTCCATCATTCATTGAATCAGATGGCTCATTCATCACAAAACCGACTGATATTGCCAACTACTTTAATGAATTTTTCATTGGCAAGATTAACAAAGTTAGGCATGACATGCCAGCAACAAACGCTGACACTACACATCCAAGTATATCTGACCAAATTATGAAAGACAAGCATTGTCATTTTTAATTCCTTAAAGTGAGTGTGGAAGAGGTGAAAAAAATATTATTGTGTATCAACAATGACAAGCCAATGGGGTCTGACAACTTGGATGGAAAATTACTGAGGATAATAGCGGACGATATTGTCGCTCCTATTTGCCATATCTTCAATTTAAGCCTACTAGACAGTGTGTGCCATCAGGCCTGGAAGGAAGCAAAAGTCATTCCGCTACCTAAGAATAGTAAAGCCCCCTTTACTGGCTCAAATAGCCGACCAATCAGCCTGTTACCAACCCTTAGTAAAGTTTTGGGAAAAAAGTTGTTTGACCAGATACAATCCTATTTTACAGTAAATAAATTGACAACAGCCTTTCAGCACGCTTATAGGGAAGGACATTCAACAAGCACAGCACTTACACAAATGACTGATGATTGGCAGAGAGAAAATGATGATAAAAAGATTGTGGGGGTGTTTTGTTAGATTTCAGTGCGGCTTTTGACATTATCGATCATAGTCTGCTGCTGGAAAAACGTATGTGTTATGGCTTTACATCCCCTGATATATTGTGGATAAAGAGTTACCTGTCTAACAGAACACAGAGGGTGTTCCTTAATTGAAGAATCTCCAACATAATCCAGGTAGAATCAGGAATTCCCCAGGGCAGTTGTCTAGGCCCCTTACATTTTTCAATCTTTACTAACGACATGCCATGTCTATGTATGTGGATGACTAAACACTATACACAGAGCTGCAGTTAGTTTCAGAGTGGGTGGCAAGGAATAAGTTAGTCCTAAATATTTCAGAAACTAAAAGCATTGTATTTGGGACAAATAATTCACTTAACCCTAAACCTCAACTAAATTGTGTAATAAATAATGTGGATATTTAGCAGGTTGAGGTGACTAAACTGCTTGGAGTAACCCTGGATTGTAAACTGTCATGGTCAAATCATGTCGATACAACAGTAGCTAAGATGGGGAGAAGTCTGTCCATAAAAAAGTGCTGCTCTACCTTCTTAACAGCACTATCAACAAGGCAGGTCCTACAGGCTCTAGTTTTGTCGCACCTGGACTACTGTTCAGTCATGTGGTCAGGTGCCACAAAGAGGGACTTGGGAAAATTGCAATTGGCTCAGAACAGGGCAGTATGGCTGGCCCTTGGATGTACACAGAGAGCAAACATTAATAATATACATCTCTCCTGGCTCAAAGTGGAGGAGAGATTGACTTAATCGCTACTTGTATTTGTGAGAGGTATTGACATGTTGAAAGCATGTCTGTATAAATGACTAGCACACAGCTCAGACACCCAAGCATATCCCACAAGACATGCCACCAGAGGTCTCTTCACAAGTCCAGAACAGACTATGGGAGGCGCACAGTACTACATAGAGCCATGACTACATGGAACTCTATTCCACATCAGGTAACTGATGCAAGCAGTAGAATCAGATTTAAAAAACAGATAAAAATACACCTTATGGACTGTGAAGCAACACAACCATAGGCACAGACACATGTATACACACACGATAACATACGCACTTTACACACACGTACACATGGATCTTGTGTTGTAGATATGTGGTA